CACTTTGTCGGCTTTTTAACATTTTTGGAATTAATCGAAGTGTTTTTGTTCTTTTAATTCGCCCTCCCCCTAATTGAGAAGGATTCGAAACCGAATGGGGATTGGTAGTGGGGTTCCTGTCCTGCTGCCGCAGGGCTCACAAGCAGAGCTTGGAGCTTGTCCCTTATAGGCAGGCCCGTAAACCCTAAACCCTGAACCGTCAACCCTAAGGCATTTAAAGGATTTTGAGCCTAAGCTTGTGAGCTGATTGAAGTTTAGACTTGATCGAACTGTTGTTTCTTTGAATTCGCCTCCCCCCAAATCGGGAAGCGCTCGCAAATGGGGTTGGCCTAAAATCATCATAATACTCGTCCCTACTGTGGGCTTCCTGTTATAGGGCATATCAGTGGCATATCCTCATAGCAATTTCCCCGACTTGGGAAACAGCAATTTAGGCCGACCCCGATATGAGTTGTAAGGCAAGACGGGCCACTAGTGCCTTATGCCGCATGACTCACCAGTGGAGCTGTGTGAGTTGAGGGATTTGCGCTGAGTTGTAATCGGCGCTGGTCAGGGCACCTTACCTAGATCCTCCAACGTAGCTCGGTTTGCAGTTTGTTATGCTTTTTGAAGGATTCTTATAGCACCCTTGAAATGCGAACGATATTGGAGGGTCTACGTAATTGCACAATGCGTTGGTCCACCTGCCCGTGCCCCAGAGGTTCTTGCATGCGGTGCATGCTTCTAATTAGTAATTAGTAGACTCTAACACAGAGTCCTGCCTTCATCTTTGTTGTGAGAACCGCATGCACAAAGTTTTTTCTCCTCCCCCAAATCACAACCCCCAAGCGGCTATGAAGGCACCGTTCTGTGCCAAAATAAGGGTCCCAATAGAGCCTACCTCAGTGAGGGGCCACCATTTTTGCAAAGAACTGAACTAGATGAGTGAGAACAATGGAAACGACATCGTGTCGAGCAGCTGATAACGGGGCCTTCTTTGATAGGAAAAACAATTGACCGACAACGGGGACAAGTTCACCTAAATGCCCACATCATCCATCAAATGAGGGGTAGATACAGTCCCCCTTCAGTAGATAGAATATGGGGTATATGGGGATCTTATTATAATATACCCAAAGCCATATTCTATCTACTTAAGCGGGACTATAAGTTTGAATAGTAGATCTCCTTCCTGTTTGGGCAAAGCCAGCTTCAGAGCCTGACGTCAACCCCCCCCCACCCTGAAGCTAAAACCTATATCCCAAACCACTTACGATCTTGCGCTACTGTCCCTTAAGCCTAAGACCCAACAATCCCCTAAGCCTTAGTTGGAGATTCGGAAGCTATAATGTGAATACCCCATTATCCCTTTATGAACCTACTTGCCAAGTCCTCAAAGACCCTGAAACCCTAAATCCTAAATCCTAAACCCTACAGGGGCCATTACCCAGTTTATATTTTCCAGTACATCTTCCAAACCCCTTAACTCTAGAAACCTCTAAAGCCCGATGTAACCCCTGCCCTAAACCCGACTGTATGACATGATGTGACTATTACAGATGATAGGCCCCCTTCATGACCCCTAGAATACTCCCCTATATAATCCACTTTCAGGAGTTTAGACTATAGCTTATATAGCTCTTACAAAAGCCATATAGTTGGCCCCTTCAGTACCCTAACCCTAAACACCACACTCTAAACCTTAAACCCTCTACACTAGACCCTAAACCCACCTAACTATCCCCAAGCTAAGGTGAACCCTCAAATAGTAGGCCCCTTTAGTATCCTGGCCAAGGAGCAGCGAAGCTCGGCCTCGTCGCGACGACGATCTGGCCAGCGCTGCTTGCCTAGAGGTAATTTTCTAAAGCTTGTTATCATTATTGTCACTATTACGATTATATAATACACATATCTTATTTTTTCGTTTATGGCTTGTTAAAGCGCTTCTTTCGGTCTGGGGTTATAGCCTGATATAGGGTTAGAGCGTAAATTTGTGGGTTTGGCGGTTATCGCTTGTAAATGTTTCTTTCAACGAGGAATATTTGGGGTTATGTAGGGATGTAATAGGATTTTGGGTTTTGGGTTGAGGTTGCGGGGTGGAGAACTGACCAAAAAGGCAATTGCACAATGAAGTGTAAGCTGGGCTATTCGTGGGGTATATGGGGGGGAGCTTGCATGTATAAAAGGCACAAGTAATGACAAAATAATGTCCTATCGTCTCCTATGCGCATTAGTATCGAAAGCAGGAGGGGCTTGTGTATATACCTACCTGGGAGAAATTTGTATTTTGGGTTTAGGGATTGGGGATTAGGGCTTGGGGTTCGGGGTTCAATCGCACTCAGAGTAGAGTAAGTAATTTCCGTGTATCCCAAAATCACGCCCACTTTGAACGACTCTACAGACCAACTCCAGCTGTTTGCACGAAGCTATAGTTACCTTGTTTTTCTTCACAGTCATGCAGTGATTTTGCAGCAGTCTCTACTCAGGAGGTTCCTAGTTCCTAGGTACTTCGAAGCTAATTTACGCTGTACCTATGACCCACTTATGACCGTGACAGTGGTGACAGTCATACAATTATAATAGTTCTCAAGCAGATATAGTAGTAATACTAGTAATGTTCTAGCGGGTGGTTTCCATTGTCCTTTCACGTTCTCAACTTTAAGGAGTTGTTGGACGACGGGCTGAGAGCTTGCTCAAACATCAGTCACGACGACTACCTTAGCACTTAGTTGGATTTCTCGAATGTTAGGCCTCAGAACTCTTCACGCTGTTTGCAGGTCGGCTATCAGTTCTTGGGATGTTTCAAGTTTGTAGTCCTGGCCACTTCTTAGCCAAATCAATTCTAGGCCCAGTAGCCGTGCCATCAATGGAAGAAAGCGACCCACAACCCTAAAGCTAAACAAATCATCCCATAGACTCCTACATAACCCCTATATAGCCCCCACAACCCCCTATAGATGGAACCTAAAAATGCTAAACCTGCCCCATCAAACTGTTGGGCGCCACTCAGGTGTCTACGGCCAGCACGCTAACGCGGGGAAAGGGGCAAGTCGATGAGGCAGTGCAGAGACAGATCTTCCCTAGCATGGACAGGAACTGGTTAATAGATGACAGCAGCGCAGTCTTTCTCTTGTGGAGTGTACCGAGTGGCCCGCTGTGCCAAATCGTAGGTCCCAGATACTTTCAGACTCAAACCTCGCGGGACTCTGTGTCTTATGCGCTGAGCCCTGAGAAATGCCGGGCCTCTCAGACCAAACGCCAATCATCTTCCTGCTACTTGTGCGGTTATCACCTCCGGCATCATAGTCATAGTCGGGCATTGTGAAATTGAGC